AAGAGCACCAACAGCACCTGCTCCAACTCCTGCCGCTGCTGCCGAACTTGCTGATAAGGCAGCTGCTGCTGCATCTGCGCCCTCCAGCACCCAAAGAACAATAGCTGAGTAATCTAGGATGCCTAAATATATTTCTCGCCAATCCTTACTATTCTGAGCAGCTGGATTCCTCACAGGAGCTGATAGGATGTTGGATTCAGAAAGAATCTTGACAGCGTCGCCTATGGAAGTGTCGGCATCTATTTCAATCACTGGAATGAGGTGTAAGTTAGCCGTTTAGGATTCAGCACTGGACATCAAACTACTTAGTACAACAGTTTAAAAACTTATCTAATTTAGATACCTTTGCCTCCTGGGACTTGAGGGAAGGATGAAACTGGAATTTTCGCAAATGCATCAGTCAAAGTTTCCTGTAAATTACGGGGCAACTTTTTTCTGCTCTGGACCATCTCAAAGTAAGCATCATAATTTGCAAGTTTCAAAGTCTTTTCTGTTTTTGCTTGTGCCATTTACTTCAATACTCAAAGAAGACGTGGCTGTAAGATTCTATTCCTGAGTAGCAGCAATACAACCATCAGATCAATAAATTTGAAACAAGATAGCCACTAGAATCTCCTACCAGATCAATAAGGAAACTTCACTGCTGCACTTAATTGAAGGATCTCGTGACTCATCCGAAACCTATTACAAATGTTTGTAACCCTGTAGCCCCATGTACCGAACATGTTTGGACTCGTAAGTAGCTATTCCACTTCCTTCAAAAAGCTGATTTTCTGTACTAAAAGCTCATACTTGCTAATTAAGAATAACTCGTAAGATTATTTTTTGGAAACTAATGTTAACACTAAAATTTTCTGCTAGGTACCACCATCTCTGAGAGAAGCATCATAGCATAAAACAGTTTGTTCCTTTAATTTATGGTTGTACTATAAACGTGGGCGTATAGTCAGAGATTCTCTTTCGGAGTAGCTCGTGGCTCCCAACCATAATCAATTTGACTACTTAGAAATTGGACAGTTATTACAATTTTATGCAGATTTCAATCCAGAATTTGTTGATACATCGAGTATAGAATAGGTTTAGTACTAACGAAAACATTTGGACGAAATTATGTTCTGATATTAGTTCTCTTCCATTATTAAAAATATTTTTCAGCAAATCAGAAATAACAACTGCCTTATCTCTATTAAAACAATCTCAACTTCTATTTATAATACCTTTTATGCGTACCAATATTGCCAGTCTTTACGACTGGCCAGATCGCAACTGTTCTACTCTCACCTACTTAAAATGCTTCCTATAAAATTCTCCCATTAATCCCAACTCAGATGACAATTTTCTCTTCTGTGATGTTCTAAACCATCCACTAATAATAAGTTTTGTACATTTTTTTCACAACTTTCAAAAATTCAAATTCTTTAATCATTCCAATCAACCCCTTAATATAATCACCTTTTTCTATTAAGCTAACTAGCCTAGATACCACGGTTATCAAAAAAAAAAAACCGCTAGATCATGTTATAAATTTTAACCTTCTAATCAACTAAACACCATCACATAAAATAGGTAAAAAAAAAAAATTCCTTTATACTATATCAAACACAGATGACGGAACACACCAAAAGCCGATATTCCTCACATCCACAGCAAAGTGAAAGACCGAATAAAAAAAACCCATCGAAGAGTTGGAGTAACAAGATTGCCGTAATTATATATATACTGATGGAAGAGGACTAGTTGAAGCGCACATAGATGAACCCTAAGGTCCCTAACAATGGATATAAAAAAAATACTACTTGTACTATAGATATGTACCTGTGCGCCTCTGCAATAGTTTACCGTGAAAAATGGAAGATCCAAGGGGAAGAATAAACAGAGAATTCTGTACAGTTTGAAGGGATTAGGAGTGGGAACTGATGGGTGTCTTTGTTGGTGAGAAGAACAGCAAAAGTTGGTTACTTTCTGGTTTCGGTGGCGCTGCCATGTGTTATAGTTCGTACCCTCCACTTGTCACTTGATTTACTCAGCACCGAGTGAGTGAACGATAAGCTCCTCTACTTTCTGCATATATTTTTGGTGTATGTAGAGGTCATCATAGAGATTACTTGCCTACTTCGCATCAACACCATAGGTGGATCTAGAGCTACCCGTTCATTTTTATCGGTTCGTCGATTTTAATTGAACTGCTTTGGCGTGACCTGAAGCTGTTTGAACCCATTTTTTGAGAATTGTCAAAGTTTTACATGTACTTTTGTTTTCTCCCTTCTTGTAAAAAGAATGAATTTGAAAATTATGTCATTCTTTGGGGAAAAAAGAATTGTGTCACGTAAAATGGAACATATGAGGTCCTATTTACTTTCAATTTTGCTAAAAATACTTGTCATTTTGACAAATTAAAGAAGAATCAATTGCAAAAATAATTGTATTTTTTTGGTAAACTGGATCCTAATATATATAAACAAAATAGTTACACCACAATTTGAGAGGCTATACTCTCAACAGTTTCATTGTAATTGTTTTGCACTACATTAGGATTACAACCCGTGACATTTCTTACAAATACAGTTCCTAGGATGTCTGTCCACAATGCCTTATTAACAAACACGGGAGAAACTGCCAAAACTTCTGTCCTTCCAAAAAAAAAAAATTCCTTGCTCCTTCCTTTGCGAGGAGGTGCGCTGCCTGATTATGCTCCCTGAAATTATGTCCTAGTGCTGGATTCCCCAACTGCTCCATAAATGATTTGCATTAAAAAACAATGAAGTTATAGTGGAGGTTTCCCTGTTTTATCAACTTAATAATTTGTTCAGAATTAGTGCTAATTTCTAGAAGGATGAAATTTTGGTCAAGCGCTATTTTTAGTCCCTGCCAAAGAGCATGGAGTTCAGCCTCAACACTGGTGGTATGTGGGATCCCCTTCATGTAGCCTAGCACCCAGTCACTTTTATTGTTCCTGAAAACACCCCCACCCCCTTCAACTTTTGTTTTTGGACAAACAACCACATATGTGCACTTGGTGGTGGTTCCCATTTGATGTAGATTACAGTTGTGTTTTTTCTGTCACTATATTGGATGCAACATGGTAGTACTCTGTAGCTCTAGCAATGGTTTGGGCAACAAGGGTGAAGTTTTTATCAAAGACGTTGTTCCTAGTGAACCAAATGCTCCAAAAACAGAAAGGCAAGAGTGTTTTTCAGTCAATTGAATCACTGAAATGTATGTTCTTAACCTTATTCCATATTTGTTCCCAATTGTTCATTGTAAAAGCAAGGTGGGGGTGGCAAGCATGGTTTGTACACTCTTGTTACAGTGTTATCTAGAAGGTTTTAGCATTGATGCATTCAAAGAAAATGTGGTTAGTGTCCTCCACTCCAGAGTTGCAAAAATAGCATATGGGGCTTACATTTAAGCCAATGTTGTTTAGATGTTTGCCAATTGGCAGCTTGTTGTGATGCAGAAGCTATATGAACATTTTTATTTTATTTGGAACGTTTAGTTTCTAAATCCAACCAAAATGATCATTCTGGCCATTACTGAAGTCCAGTTCAGATCTAATATGGTTGTAGGCTGACTTAGTGCTAAATATTCTATTATTAGTGAGGTTCCAGATAATCTTATCTTCAGTATTGCTTATAGCAGGGATGAATGTGGATTGGATAACACGTGTAATATCCATGGGAATGGGGTAATGAATGGCATTAAGGTTCCATTCCCTATTGAAAATGATGGAGTTGATTTTTAGGGCCAGGTCGGAGTTATGCCAAGGTCCATAAAGGATAGAGTTAAGAGGTTGCATATTGGGGATCCAGTTATTAGAAAGAAAGTTGATTCTATCCCCTTTATGGACAACCCATCTAGATGCTTTGATGCATACCTTCCATTCCTCTTGTATGCATTGCCAAGTCCTGGTCTTGGCTTTTTCCTTGCATTGCTTTCCACTACAGTGCTTCCCCATTAAGACCCTAGTCCAAATTGTGTCAGTGTTTTGATACAATCTCCATGCTAGGGTGATAAGACTGGCTCTATTTTTCATCTAGGTTGGGTTTGCTGCAAGCCAAGACCCCCCCCCCCCCCCCCCCCTGTTCTTTGGCTTAGTTACAATATCCCATTTGATCAGGTGCATTTTTTATTTCTGTTGTGGTGCTCCATATAAAAATTTTTTGAATTCTGTCAATTTGGTTGGTGATGTGTGAAGGCAGTTTTATATATTACATAACATGGCTGGGGATACTTCAGAGTCTTATCTTTGCCAAGGTTGTACGGCCAGCCATGTTTAACAACTTTGTTTTCCAGCTAGCCAGGTTAGTGTTCATGTTATTAATGATGAATTAGAAGTCTCTATTTGTAGGCCTTCTATGGAATATAGGGAATCTTAGGTACTTACCAAATTTATTATTTTTCTTAACTCCTAACCTTGGGCTATACTGGTTTGCCCAGTCCTTATTACAGTTAGCAGAAAAGATAACCTTTGATTTTTGGAAGTTAACCTTCTGGTCTGAACTATCATTGAAGCCCTCTAAAGTGGCCAATATAGCATCACATTTTTTCTTATTAGATCTACCAAACAAGGTAAGATCATCAGCAAAGAAAAGGTCGGAAATATTTAGGCCATTCTTACCTATACTAATGGGTATCCAGTCCTTCCTCAGGACCTCTTGGTCAATAGTCCTTGAAAGCCTTTCCATACAAATAATGAATAGATGGGGGGGATAGGGTCTCCCTGCCTGATTCCTCTAGTAGGGTGGAAAGACTTTGTTTGGCTTCCATTAACTAGAATAGAGATGGAGCTAGAAGAGATACACGAGAGTACCAGGTTGGTCAGGTTGGTTGGGAACTTAAAAAATAGTAGGGAGTCCCTAAGAAGGACCACTCAAGTATGTCAAAGGCTTTTTCTAGATCAATCTTTAAGACCATGTTGGCATTCTTACCTTTCATCTTTTGAAAGTGGGTGATATATTCCTGAACAATAATGGCATTATCAACAGCTCTCCTATTACAAAGGAAACTGGCCTAGGTGGGGCCAATTATGTTATGGAGAAAGGGTTTAATCTTGTTCACTATGATCATTGTGTCAAGCTCGTGCATTGTATTACACAACCCAATTGGTCTAAAGTTCTTTAACATGGTAGCATTGGGGCATTTAGGTATTAAGCAAAGTAGAGTCCTATTTACTTCAGGGGGCATTGTGGATGTGGAAAATACATTCTGACAGAGTTGGTAACCTGGGTAGAGAGGTTGTGCCAGTATTTTTGGTAGAAAAATGGGTGTAGTCCATCAGGCGTAGGGGCCTTAAAAGGTTTGAAGCAGTTAATGGCTTTCTTAATTTAAGAAGATCTAAGAGGGAGGGCCAAGGATGCCCTTATGCTATCAGATAGGACTAGTGATGTATCATCATTGTATTGGTTCCTGTAGCCAGATGAAAATGGGATATGGTAAAAAGGTTGCCAAAGTACCTTCTGATGGTTTCAGTAATGAGTTGGGGGTCCTTAACTTGGTTATCTACTTCATTTGTTAAACTTAGGATCATGTTTCTTCTTCTTCTGTTAATGATAGTGGTGTGAAAGAATCTAGTGTTGGCATCTTCATTCTTAAGGATAGCTGAGAATTCAGCTTGGAGGTTGGTTTCTAAATCCAGGAGGTATCTACTGAAAGGATAGGAATTTGACCTCTGTATACCATTAAGCCTGGCAAGAATGTGTTTATTCTTGTGGAAGATATTTCCAAAAATTCCAGTTGGTCATATTATGCTTTAAAAGGTTGGTGTCCCCCAAAAGGTCATTTGGTGATTGGAAGCTATTATGCACAATGGATGGGAAATCTGGGTGGCTACACCACATTGACTTAAATCTAAAGGGCCTCATATGATCATTGTGTTGCTCACTTGTAATGGTGAGAAGTAATAGGTAGTGATCAGAGTGGGTCCTAGGGAGGTGTGTTACTATGGATTCAGGGTATAACTCATTCCAGTCATCTGTAGCAAGACACCTAACTAGCCTTTCCAAGATTAGGTCTTGCATGTTGGTGGACCTTTTGTTATACCAAGTGTATTTTGATCCCTTAAAGCCTAGGTCCACTAGTCTACGTTGGTTCAAGCAATTCCAAAAATGGGTGTTCTATTTTTATTAATGGATTTACTTCCAAACTTATCTCTAGCTTTTAGGAATTTATTGGATTCACCTCCTACAAGCCAGCTACCCTTATAAACAGAGGTCATATCCTCAAGGAACTACCAAAGTCTAATTCTATCTTGAATATGACTACTAGCATAAATAGCATAGAAGAGCCACTTAAAGTAGTTAGGGGTTACCTTGATCATGACATGAACCCCTTATGGCATGGTACGGACTTCCTCCAGCTTAACTAGGTTATCTTTCCACATGACAGCAATACCCCCAAATTGCCCTAAGGCAGGGGATTAAAACTGGGCTGAGAATTGGAGCTCAGCAGTCAGGTGCATATGGTCAGCCATTCTTGTCTTAGGGAGAACAAGAACAACAGGGTTGTGCAGCTTGACCATGGAGGCACAGTGTCTGCGGAACTCAACACTGTTGGCTCCTCTCGCATTCCATATTATTAAATTCATCAATAAGGTATTTTAAGATGGGGTTTCCTCTTGAGGCCCTTCCCTTTTCCTACAGGGGTTGCTTTCACTCGTCCCAGCATTGGACTTAAGGCCACTGCCGAATTCCTTGAGTTTGGAGATAAGGGAACTCGGAGATTTAGTTTGCACCTTGTGAGTTTGCTGGGGCAGAGAGCAATAATCATTTCTCCGAACGACCCTTTGAACTCGATCTCCTGAGCTTCTTGCATGAGGAGTACTCTTGTCTTTGGGACTCCTAGCATTTTTAGTATGTTCTCTAGGTTTGTGTTGGACTCTTTGAGGTACACTAAGGTTTGGTTTTTCTCCTTGATTAGTTGATCCATCGCTAATAGTTGGGTCGGACTTGGGGGGATCGACTGGTCCACCTGTAGCCACAAAGTGAAGGCATGGGATGGGATTGGTGTTTCCAAGTTCATCATTGGGAAGAAAGGCATGGTCTGGCACAACTGGCCCATCAGATTGTTGATTTCCTCCAAAGACAGTGGTTGTTGGGTGCCCATATATTGGGCCTGAAGGAGGGTAGACAACCACAGTTGGTGGCCGAAGTTGGATAGGCCTTGGTGAAGGAGATGGGTTGGTAGTCTTGCAAGGTAAAGTGGGTCTTGGATGGTGATTTATATTGGGACTATACCAATCATCATCTGGAGTGACTGAGAGTGTCCCTGCAGAGCCATC